ATTATTTCTCCCTCGGCTTGTTTCAGCGTTTATGGCTGAACACCAACTGACACCCCATCACCAAGATTATCTCCCTTTACGGCTCACTGAATACACAAACAATCCCTGCTCCCCGAGACTCGCTGGCTACATCAACAATTAATTCTCCCTTTGCTTTTAGATCGGAGTGGTGGGGTTTTTTTTCTACGTTTCTCCGAGTCAAAGACTTGAACCCAATTAAGGAAACGCTATTCAGGACGTAATTCGCCATTTAATTTTACATGATGTACCAATTAAATTTCATGAGATGAGCGTTAAACATCTTACTATTTATTCTGCATCGAACTAATGAAGACTGGAATACACCACGCAGTAAAAATGAAATATGAAATGGGGTTTAACATGTTCTATCAGGGAATTCCAACTGCCAAGGGATCTTTTACATGCATGCCAATGTGTACATGGGACCTCGTTTTTTTGTCCCATCCGAACGACTGACAGCTGTCATTGTCAGACTTGCTGTACTGCACCACTGACAAGAGGAAAAAGAGAAAGAAATGGGATTTAACGTCCACTCGACACAAACTAGGTCATTCAGGGACTAACATATGGTTTAATTTTATTTCAATAATTCGCCTGCGCATAGGGGCTTTTAGCAGTGGGAGGAAACCGGAGGACCCGGAGAAAACCCACGAGGTTGGACAGGCGACCCTACTCCTTGTCACGTACAACCGGGGATTCAAAACCACGCCAGTTGACTCAATGACAGACTTTATGATACAGCGTGCGCATGCTAACCATTCAGCCATCCAACCCCCCAAAAATCTCGATGAACTTTCTCGCCCAACACCAGGAGCAAAACACACGACCGACAGACTAGCAAGCCAGCGTCTTACTCTCTTAGCCACTACGACTCCCTGGTACCAAGAAACCATCTGTTGCAATTTGTTCTCGGTCAACTCTTACTTAGAGTATATAAATTAACAATCTGGTTAAATCACATATCCTATTTCGTTTCGTTTTTATAGTTCAAAATTTCGTTTTACTTGTCTTTACTACACTTGGATCTGGAAGAGTTGTTATTTAACTCGTGTTCTGAATGGTGTCAGGGATAAGCCAATGAAATGGTCTTTCACGGCGAGCTTTAGGCGTGTTTTTTACGGAACTGTGGGTAATCAACTAGTAACATCAATGCTGACTGGTTAATCAAATGTCTGACGTCATAGGTCAAAAGTCGGTCTTTTGACCACTGACGTGACCTATCACTACAACCGGTCAGATCTTCATGTAGTGTAGGCCATCGAAAGTATAAAAAAAGAAACGAAATATAGATCTATATTCTAATCAGATTGATAAATTAAGACTTCCATTTGATTTTCACTTGAATGAAGCAGGCATTGAATAAAATAGTCCTTCGACAATAGGAAACAAGGCTTAAATATCCAGAGGGACTTTCTTCACCAACAGGCAAGGGTAGACCTGGGGCAAATGCCACACGATTCAATTTTTGTTTGGAAACATATGGTTACGTCCACTCGACACAAAATAAGTCGTTTCGGGACTAACATATGGTTCAATTTTAAGTCATTAATTGGCTAGCGCCTCAGGGTCTTTAGCAGCTGGAGGAAATCAGAGGAAACCAGAGGACTGGACCAGCGAACCTACTCGTCATGTAGAAACAGGGAATCGAAACCATGCCACTTGACACAATCACAGACCTTATGATCCAACCATTCGGCCAACCAACTCCCTAATTTCTATCGCAGTTTACATTTTAAAATAATTTGAAATAAACATTAATAATTTACAAGATATATAAGCCTATATATAGAAATAAAATATGACATCATACTGTATGTCCAATTACATTTCAACAGACATATTACTCGGATATTTTGACAGCACTAGAAATTTATTGTTTTGCTTTAGAACGGACGGGCAAGCTCAAATTACACGAAGAAGCAGTATTCCATTAAACATTGATACACCAATGCTGGGCTTCTGATACCCTTCAAACTAACAATAAGACATTGTAAGTCATCTTTTATATTCAATTTTTTTATCTAGTTAATGGTACTTTGAAATAAAGAGGGGGTTGGGTGGCCGAATGTATAAGGTCTGTCATTGAGTCAACTGGCGTGGTTTCAATTTCCTGGTTGTAACTTGTACTGTACGGGAATAAGTTGGGATTGCCGAATGGTTAGCACATGCGCGTTGTATCCTAAGGTCTGTCATTGAGTCAACTGGCGTGGTTTTGATTCCCCGGTTGTACGTGACAAGGAGTAGGGTCGCCTTCTAGCCTTGTGGGTTTTCTCCTGATCCCCCGGTTTCTTCCCACTGCTAAAAACCCCTACGTGCAAGCGAATTATTGAAGTAAAATTAAACCATGTGTTAGTCCTGAAATGACCTAGTTTGTGTCTAGTGGACTCTCTGTCTCTCTCTATAAAGAACATAATCAAGACTGTATTTGTTGATAATAATACTCCACACTACAACAAAATATATCCACCACCATTTTGAATGTAAATTGCTAATGACAATTGGCTACTATTTTTGGAGGATCAATGGAGAAAAAATGATTTGATTTCTTCACTGAATTTTGAATAATTTTTGTTTTTATATTCTCTTTTTCTTTAATTTAAACAAAACTTGTCAACGTTTTAAAATAGTTTTGGCAAGATTCTCAAAACAAACAATGTAGAAATATACATTTAAAAATACATTATGCAGGTTTTTCTTACTATTAATTAGACATTTATTAACAAAACAAGACCATAATCAAGATTTTAACTAGATTAGAACGGTTCGCTATTTAAAAATTTAATTTAAAAAAGGCAAAGCGAGACTAAGTCTAGAATACACCAGTGCTAACTTGGCTCAGAATGGAGTAATTTGAACAAAATTTCAATATTTTTATTTTATATTATCTATTTTTGAGCTATTATAGCAAGAATGGTCGGCTCTTTATCTAAATCTTACAGAATATATCTTTAATACTGGGACATAACTCTATGAATAGGGACTATTAAACCGTAAATAGTGAAATCAAGTAGTACAACCCATGCTGCGAGACTTGTCAACTTCGAGTAATTATATCAGTAGTTAATTTGAAAAAATTAAATTCTGTATATCCCCCACGTATTGTAAATAAAATATAAAAAAATAAATACGTGGAAACATATTGTAAAATGAGATATCAAAGTGAGAATTCCCGTAATTTCTGAGTGTGTCCGATTGAACAAAAATAGTAACACACGATAAAAAGCAGACGAAATTCTTTTCTAACTAAGATTTCTAACGTAAGTGGGGCTTCGGAAGCCACTGTCAAGAATTGGCAACAGACCTAACCAAAAGTCTACATCACATTCACAAACTGTCACAGCTGCCTGTAGCAGTGTTTTAAAAAAAATCTAAGAATGAAATCTAATCATTTGTTATAAATTAAAGTAATATCTTGTTATTTAGGCGTTTTATGTTGAAACTGAGAAAATGCTAATCAATTTTTAAATTTGCTAATCCAATTTCGCAAAATTGGACCTTTTGATTAGCAGTGCTGGCTGCTAATACTGTGAAAAATTACTGACAGCCCTGTTTCTAGGAAGAATTCATCCAGGATTCTGAGCACCTAAAGACGATGGCGGGGTAATTTGTGTTCGCAAGTTAATATTTGCGTGCTCGCTAGCGGTGCATTGCAAATACGCCTGTATAATCTCAAGGCCTGAATGTGTGATGTCTTGTGTCACACTGTGTGCATTCTTAATTATGTTCTGTGTGACATTGTGTGTGCCTGATTGGTGTCATGCACACTGCTGGGTGTGCTTGATCTTTCTAAAACACCTGATACCATGAGTGCTTTCTTGATTAATTCACATGTGCTGCGTCCTGAGTGTGCAAATAAAATAAAAGGTGGTTTAACGTCCTACTGCTCTGCTCCGAACTGGGCTAATGAAGACAGGCATACACCATACAGTGTGCTATGAGGGAAATTTTGCATGGGCAGCGGCACTATGGCCTACTCTTATATCCAATTTCAACTGCCAAGCTGGGTGTGCCTGGGTGATTGGTGTCATGCACACTGCTGGGTATGCTTGGCCTTTTGATAACACATTGGAGCTAATGAAGACCGCACATGCTTATGGAAAACCAGCTACTAATTTGGATGGATAGAGAGAGAGGAATGGGGTTTAACGTCCACTCGACACAAACTAGGTCATTTTGGGACTAACATATGATTCAATTTATTTTATTTCCATAATTCGCTTGCGCGTAGGGGTCTTTAGCAGTGGGAGGAAACCGGAGGACCCAGAGAAAACCCACGAGGTTGGACAGGCGACCCTACTCCTTGTCACCTGCAAACGGGGATTCGAAACCACGCTAGTTGACTCAATGACAGACTTAATGATACAGCGTGCACGTGCTAACCACTAAGCCATCCAACCCCCCAATTTGTTTAGATGTAAAAACAGCTACGAATTTGGTTAGATGTAAAAACAGCTACTGATTTGTTTGGATGGAAAAACAGCTATTAATTTGTTTGGGCAACATTTCAAAGAGTATTTTATCAACATTGTGTGTTGTCATGCCCACGTAGCTTTGCTTTCTATTTATAGAATGGGATCGATGTGGCTAAGTGGGTAGGTCGATGGCTCGCTAGCCTGGAGGTCGGGTGTTCGGTCACTGCATTGGCCGAGAAAGTTCATCAAGATTTTCTGGTGTGGTTCCCCCTTGTCAATGATGCAGGACGGATGGTACGAAAAACCGAGGTCCTGTGTACACATTGGCGTGCTCGTAAAAGATCCCTTGACAGTTGGAATTCGAGATAAGAGTAGGACGTAGTGCCGCTGTCCGGGCAAAATTTCCCTCATGGCACACTGTATGGCGTATGCCTGTCTTCATTAGCCCAGTTCAGAGCACAACAGTAGGATGTTAAACCCCATTTCATTTCATTTCTATTTATAGAATACATAATACCACCACTAATTGGGCATGTTTGATTAATTAACATGTTACTTTAAACTTACCATACTGGCACTTTCGTTTATCACACTATCTTCATTAGGTATTTTTGAATTCGATCTACTATTTTCAGAATTCTGAAGGAGAAAAAAAAAAACAACATATTAATTGCATATATCATGGGTTTATAAATTTATCATATTTTTAAATCTTATATAATCTTGAATTCTGAAGAAAAAAAAAAAACAAACTCTGACATATTTATTGTTACCATATGAATTGATCAAATGTTTCTACCAATTTTTCAAATAGGAAGTTGAAATAAAAGTAACACTTCCATTTTACACAAAGAATTTTAAACATATTAAATGTTTTACCTTAAATCATGACATTAAGAACAACTAGGTGAATAACATTAATATCATCATAGAGTTAACACTAGGTGAATAACATTAATATCATCATAGATTTAACACTAGGTGAATAACATTAATATCATCATAGATTTAACACTAGGTGAATAACATTAATATCATCATAGAGTTACCACTAGGTGAATAACATTAATATCATCATAGAGTTAACACTAGGTGAATAACATTAATATCATCATAGAGTTAACACTAGGTGAATAACATTAATATCATCATAGAGTTAACACTAGGTGAATAACATTAATATCATCATAGATTTAACACTAGGTGAACAAGCCAACAGTGAGGCTGATGTCCCCCGCCGAAATTGCAAAATAAATAGATGACACATATTAATTAATCGCACATTTATTTTTTTCACTAAGTTTCATCACTCTCTATCAGATAGAATCAAGATTATCTTGTCCCAAACCATCGACAAATGAAATCGATTAGCTCTGCTTAGCTTCAGCTCGAAATGTTAATTATTGAACTCAGTCAAGACATTCACCTAATGAACATCTACATATACATCAAGTTTAAACATTCACCTATGCCAAGTTTGAACATTCTACCTCAATTAGAAGGAGAGTTATTGTGTTCCAAAGTTTCTACCAATCAAATTGCTTATCACTCTGCTTACCCTCAGCAAAAAATGTTCATTATCGAACTTAGTTAAGGTATTCATATAATAAATCTATACACCAAGTTTCATCAATCTCACTTAATTAGAACTAAAGTTATCGTGTCCCAAAGCATCAACCAATCAAATTGCTTATCTCTGCTTACCCTAAGCGGAAAATGCTCATCTTCGAACTCCATCAAGGCATTGACCTAATCAACACATACACCAAGTTTGAACATTCTAGCCCAATTAGGAAGAGAGTTATCGTGTCCCAAAGCATCAACCAATCAAATTGCTTATCTCTGCTTACCCTAAGCGGAAAATGCTCATCTTCGAACTCCATCAAGGCATTGACCTAATAAACACATACACCAAGTTTGAACATTCTAGCTCAATTAAAAGTTATCGTGTCCCAAAGCATCAACCAATCAAATTGCTTATCTCTGCTTACCCTAAGCGGAAAATGCTCATCTTCGAACTCCATGAAGGCATTGACCTAATCAACACATACACCAAGTTTGAACATTCTAGCCCAATTAGGAAGAGAGTTATCGTGTCCCAAAGCATCAACCAATCAAATTGCTTATCTCTGCTTACCCTAAGCGGAAAATGCTCATCTTCGAACTCCATCAAGGCATTGACCTAATAAACACATACACCAAGTTTGAACATTCTAGCTCAATTAGGAAGAGAGTTATTGTTTCCCAAAAAGTGTGACGGACAGACAGACGGACGGACAGACGGACGGACAGACAGACGGACAGACGGACGAACCCATTTTAATAGTCCCCTGCTTTCTTCGAAAGGCGGGGGACAATAACATTAATATCATCATAGAGTTAACACTAGGTGAATAACATTAATATCATCATAGATTTAACACTAGGTGAATAACATTAATATCATCATAGAGTTACCACTAGGTGAATAACATTAATATCATCATAGAGTTAACACTAGGTGAATAACATTAATATCATCATAGAGTTAACACTAGGTGAATAACATTAATATCATCATAGAGTTACCACTAGGTGAATAACATTAATATCATCATAGAGTTAACACTAGGTGAATAACATTAATATCATCATAGAGTTAACACTAGGTGAATAACATTAATATCATCATAGAGTTACCACTAGGTGAATAACATTAATATCATCATAGAGTTACCACTAGGTGAATAACATTAATATCATCATAGAGTTAACACTAGGTGAATAACATTAATATCATCATAGAGTTACCACTAGGTGAATAACATTAATATCATCATAGAGTTAACACTAGGTGAATAACATTAATATCATCATAGAGTTACCATAGGTGAATAACATTAATATCATCATAGAGTTAACACTAGGTGAATAACATTAATATCATCATAGAGTTAACACTAGGTGAATAACATTAATATCATCATAGAGTTAACACTAGGTGAATAACATTAATATCATCATAGAGTTACCACTAGGTGAATAACATTAATATCATCATAGTTTTATGGATTCAGAACCAGGTGAATAACATTAATATCATCATAGTTTTATAGATTTAGAACAACTAGGTGAATAACATTAATATCGTCATAGTTTTATAGATGGCCGAGTGCTTAGCATGTGCGCTGTATCACTGAATCTGTCATTGAGTCAACGTTGTACGTGACAAGGAGTAGGGTCGTCTGTCCAACCTCGTGGGTTTTCTCCAGGTCCTCCGGTTTCCTTCCACTGCTAAAGACCCCTACGCGCAAGCGAATTATTGAAGTAAAAAATTAAACCATGTATTAGACCCGAAATGATCTAGTTTGTGTCGAGTGGACGTTAAACCCCATCTCTCTCTCCCTATATAAGATTTTAGGCTAACAAAAAGACTTACATAATACATCTTTAATATGAATGTAAATAAATATTTGTTACAGTATCCAGCATTTTAAACAACAAAATAAATAATTGTTACAATATCGTAAACTACAAAATAAATTTGTTATAATATATTCAAGGGTGTTATTGTCTAAACTTAATGAAAACAACGGGACTCCTCTTTCCACTTGATAAAGTTTTATTTTCATGTTAAACTTCAGGACTTCATATTCAGACAAAGTCAAATGAAACTGATAGCAACATCATTGATTGGTCGACACTAGTTCTAAATAGTTCTAAAGACCAATCAAATTAAAACTACCGTGATGAACGAAATTCTCTATAAAATATTTAGAAATGCTTTAATTGGCCAGACATTTAATTGGCTATTTCATCAAGATCCCAAGAGATATGATTAATCAAAGGTCACATGACCAATTAACAAGTTAACTTCATTAATATCATTCAACCGTATTGGAGAGAGAGAGAGAAATGGGGTTTAACGTCCACTCGACACAAACTAGGTCATTTCGGGACTAACATATGGTTTAATTTTATTTCAATAATTCGCTTGCGCATAGGGGTCTTTAGCAGTGGGAGGAAACCGGAGGACCCGGAGAAAACCCACGAGGTTGGACAGGCGCCCCTACTCCTTGTCACGTACAACCGGGGATTCGAAACCACGCCAGTCGACTCAATGACAGACTTTATGATACAGCGCGCGCACGCTAACCATTCAGCCATCCAACCCCCCTCAACCGTATTGGAGTGATCATCCAAATAGAAAGAGAGAGAGAGAAATGGGGTTTAACTCCCACACCACACAAACTAGGTCATTTTAGGACAAATTTTAACTCAATTTTATTTCAAATATACACTTGCGCTTAGGGGTCTTTAGCAGTGGGAGCAAACCAGAAACCTCAGAGAAGACCCACAAGATTGGACAGGTGACCCTACACCTTGTCACATACAAGTGTGGGGGGGGGGGGATTCGGAACCAAACCACTTGACTCAAACAACAGACCTTATGATCTAATGCGCACATGTTAAACCATTCAGCCACCCAATCCAAATAACGGAAGAATTATAGTTTCTATGATAATGACAAGTAATGTACCCTATGATAATATAATGAAAAGTAATGTACCCTATGATAATGACAAGTAATGTACCCTATGATAATGACAAGTAATGTACTCTATGATAATGACAAGTAATGTACTTTATGACAAGTAATGTACTTTATGAAAATGAGAAGTAATGTACTCTATGATAATGACAAGTAATGTACTTTATGAAAATGAGAAGTAATGTACTTACCGGTGTGGGACCCGGTGACGCCTGAGATGGATGAACTGCAGATTGGGGGGTTCCCGGTTGGGAAGAGGGATGAGAATTAGGTGACTGATTTGCGGAGCGTGAATGTTGTGGGGATAAATACATGGGGTTCGGGGGTTGCGCGGAGGAAGGGGGACCGGATGGACTGTACCCTCCCCCCATTGGTTGATTTCCTGATTGGTTATACTGAGGATGTACCTGAAAATAAATTTTATACAAATGTCAGTCGTGTCATCGTAATATTTGATAATTTAAATAAAACATGACACAATCATATGGAATACAAGTTACTTGGACCAAAGAGAGAGAGAGAGAGTTTAACCTCCACTCGACACAAACTAGGTCATTTCGGGACTTACATATATGGTTCAATTTTACTTTAATAATTCGCTTGCGTGTCAGGGTCTTTTAGCAGTGAGAGGAAACCGAAGGACCCATAGACAAATTAATCGTTGTCAAAATATAGGTAGAGTCTACTCCTCACAGTGTTCCGTTTGATTAGACCTAAACCCACTCAACACTGCCGTAATGAAAGCAAATTTCTGTTCCAAATTATGACTGGTCAATAGTCCTATTAACAACCAATCCCTAACTGCGTAACAATCAAACAAGGGTATTAAAAATAGCTACACTGTAAACTATACTGCTTGGAGACAAACAATACTTTTGCTGTTTTTAATAGCTTAAATTACTGTCCAAAGTTTTAAAGAAGACCCCTGACTAAACAAAGTGCTGTCATGTTGCTGTGCTTAGGAGCGATTTGATTTAACAGGAAGAATAGATACTCCCTCAAAAGCTTAACTATCAGAAGTCAATCCAGCAATGGCCAGAGAGGGATTTCTCGGGCCATTGCTTCAGGAATATGAGGTAACCAAACGATTATGTTTTCCATATAATTAATTGCGTCATGTTTTATTCAGAGTCAGTTACTAAATACTGCTCAAACCATTTGTTCAATTAAAAAAAAAAAAAAATTTAATGAATTGGAAGATTGGAATCTGAATGAACATGTACTAAGACAATCATCAATGTTTACTCACGCTTTTTTGCTGCACAAAAACTACTACAACATTCACATGTATGTCAAAATATTATTGCAAATCAATTTGTCAAAGATGTAGTGTTAGCAAGTCTTTATATTGGCTTCAAATGTTATATAAACTATTATTTAGATATCTATTAACATGACAAGCCTACAATCAACTCTCTAGATCATCGGATGGCAGAGATTTAAATGGATTAGAAATGAAATTGGGTTTAACGTCCTACTGTTCTGCTCCTATACTGGGCTAATAAAGACGGGCATACGCCATACAGTGTGCTATGAGGGAAATTTTGTCCGGGCAGCGGCACTATCGCCTACTCTTATATCGAATTCCAACTGCCAAGGGATCTTTTACGTGCATTCCAATGTATACACAGGACCTTGGTTTTTCGTCTTATCCGAACGACTAGACAGCTGTCCTTGTCAGGCCCTCCGTCCTGCATCACTGACAAGGGGAAACCACGCCGGAAAATCAGGATGAACTTTCTCGGGCAATGCAGGGATCGAACACCCGACCGCCAGGCTAGCGAGCCAGTGTCTTACCCACTTAGCCACGTGATCCCCAAATGGATTAGAACTACCCCGCCTGGATTTTAAAATTTAACAATAGTCAATGTTTGTTCTCATTTGTCAAGTAAATTTACCGATGCTACAATAACAAACAATCTATGCTACAAACTTCAAACACATGAAATGAGAGAGAGAGAAATGGGGTTTAACGTCCACGCGACACAATCTAGGTCATTTCGGGACTAACATATGTTTTAATTTTATTTCAATAATTCGCTTGCGCGTAGGGGTCTTAAGCAGTGGGAGGAAACCCACGAGGTTGGACAGGCGACCCTACTCCTTGTCACGTACAACCGGGGAATCGAAACCCCGCCAGTTGACTCAATGACAGACCGTGTGATACAGCGCGCGCACGTGCTAACCATTCGGCCATCCGACCCCCCTTCAAACACTTATAACTTCACTCAGATTAAAATAATTTGAATGAAATTTTCAATATATTCATTTATCATTATCTAGTTTTGAACTATTATAGCAAGAACGGCCAGCTCTTTATCTAAATCTTACATAATTCACCTATAAGACAAATGTAATTAATTGACCTTCCATAAAAAAAAACCACTAAACAGCTATAAACCACTTTGATTTGGTTTGCCCAATAGATTAAAATTATTCAAGGAAACATCTTAGAAAATAAAACTATAATTGTATAAAGCTTGTCCTTTCACACATCAGACCAATTCAACATTTATTTTGACCTAAATACAGCCTTAAAAATAATAATTTTAGGTGTCGAAATGTCAGGTACTAATGAACTAGTAATATTTGATATTTTAAACTTGTCAGTTAAAATGAATCTAAGTCTGATTGGGGCGTTGGATGGCCGAATGGTTAGTACGGGTGCACTGTATCATAAAGATTGTCATTGAGTCAACTGGGTGGTTTCAAATCCCTGGTTGTACGTGACAAGGAGTAGGGTTTTCTCCCACTGCTAAAAACCCCTACGCGCAAGCGAATTATTGAAATAAAATTAAACCATATGTTAGCCCCGAAATGACCTAGTTTGTGTCGAGTGGACATTAAACCCCATTTCTCTCTCTCTAGATCTGATTATGGCATGTATAACATAAGACATGATTATCACACAACACAAATGATATTTATATTTACCTGTTGTGGGTAAGATGGGTTTGATAGACGAGGTTGACCAGTCATATATCTAGAACTGGGGGAATATTGTTGAGGATTGGGAAATGGAACACCAGCTTGATTCACATAGTTACTACCCCCACCACTCATTGATGGCTGTCTTCTAGACTCGTGCATTTCATTCTGAAAAAGAAAAAAACATATTTTTAAAATATATTGAAGTTTGGCAATCTTGATCGTTAATCCATTGCCATTAAACAAAACTAAAATCTCTTAGCGAGGATTCAATAGCATTAAAAAATAGGCTCATTAAAGACATAAGGTGGTCCGGTCCTGGCTTGTTTATATCATAATTTCATGACATCATCAGAACAAAACTATAAAAACACTGGTTACTCGCGATGAGTATCGCTTATCTACGATATCACCCGCGGTGGAAGTGGACGTAAAACTCCAGGAACGAACGAACACGACGAACATAGATTTCAAAATAGAGAATCAGGATCAATTTCACTACCACAAAATATAAATTCCAATTCCACAAATCATAAATTCCAAATCCACATTATAAATTTCAAATCCACATATTATAAATTTCAAATCCACAAATCATAAATTATCAATTTCAATTCCACAAATCATCAATTTAAAATTCACAAATGAGGAATTTTAAATCCACAAATGAAAAATTTCAAATCCATCAAACAATAAATTTCAAATCCATAAATTTCAAATCCATAAATTTCAATTCTACAAACGATAAATTTCAATTCAATCATAAATTTTAAATCCACAAATGAAAAATTTCAAATCCATCAAACAATAAATTTCAAATCCATAAATTTCAATTCTACAAACGATAAATTTCAATTCAATCATAAATTTCAAACCCATCAAACGTTAAATTTCAATTCCACAAACGATAAACAATAAATTTCAATTCCACAAATCATAAATTTCAATTCCACAAATATTACATTTCAATTCCACAAATCATACATTTCAATTCCACAAATCATAAATTTCAATTCAATCCACAAATCATAAATTTCAATTCAATCCACAAATCATAAATTTCAATTCAATCCACAAATCATAAATTTCAATTCAATCCACAAATCATAAATTTCAATTCAATCCACAAATCACAATAATAAATTTCAATTCCACAAATCATAAATGTCAAATCTACAAACGATAAATTTCAATTCCACAAACTTTGATAAATTTCAATTCCATGAAATATGAATTTTATTATAGTCATTCATCAATTCTATTATTGCCATATATATATTCATAAATTTCAAATCCACTTACATTCAATCTTATTATCATTTGAAGTTTACATTAGTTGTTACCATACTGATTTGACAACATCTTCTTTTAGTTGTTTAACATAATAATCCTAAGAGTTTTTTTGGGGTTATTTTCATCACGGTAATTTCAAGTTGTATAGTTAATACTAAATGGTACTATTAATACAAGTCTCCCTCTTTAACTTGATAAACATAATAATACTATAACAAGATGTAGAAATTTTATGACACAGCTCAGTGAGTAAGAAGCTGCTTCGTTAACCTGAAGGTCCAGTAGTTCGATCCCAACGTTGGCAGAGAAAGGTCCACAGGATATTTCGACATGTTTTCTCATCGGCCGTGCAGAACATTTGGCAGAGGCAAGGATTATCCTCTAGTCGTGACATACAACATTGCCGTGTAAAAGAAACCGTAACAGTTGGAATTCGAAATAATTGGCAAAAAATTCTCCTCCTAGCACAATCAATGAACCATTAGGATTCTAATAAAATATTTTAATTTAAGCTTTCATGAAAACGGCTGCTGGTCATTTTCTTATCCCATAGCAAATTTTATAAAAGAATATATTTTTAAAATATTTCGGGTCCATCTATGATCTGCAAGTTAGTGACTTTACAATGAGTATTAGTAAAGTCGTCCATATTTTAACATCAAGTTTGACTTAATAAAATAAATTTGCAATATATTCATTTTTCATTATATATTTTTGAACTGTTACAAGATATAGCGAGAAGGGTCAGCTTTTTATCTAAATCTTACATCATGCATCTTTAAAAGTTGTTCATGAATAGAATCGCTGGTCATTTTCTGATCCTATTGCCAGATAAATCAAAGAGAAAGAGAGAGAGAGAAACGGGGTTTAACGTCCACTCGACACAAACTAGGTCATTTCGGGACTAACATATGGTTTAATTTTATTTACATAGTTCGCTTGCGCGTAGGGGTCTTTAGCAGTGGGAGGAAACCAGAGGACCCGGAGAAAAACCCACGAGGTTGGACAGGCGCCCCTACTCCTTGTCACGTACAACCGGGGATTCGAAACCATGCCAGTCGACTCAATGACAGACTTTATGATACAGCGCGCGCACGCTAACCATTCAGCCATCCAATCCCCCATAAATAAAAGAATACATTTTTGAAATATTTCAGGTCCCTCCATGATTAACTAGTGACTTTACAATGAGTATTAGTAAACGTTGGCCATATTTTAACAAGTTTTAAGTTGAACTAAAATACAATAATATTAATCCCCTGTCATAGAGGTTGTGATATTTACTACGCTAACTAGATTACGCTTCACATCTTACTCAAGGAAATTCAAATATTAATCCTATTTAACATAAAAACAAATATTTCTACTGTGTCAGTTATTTCATCTCTCCTTTGTTTATTTTATCAAACAGAATATACTCATCAACATGGCATAGTTTATTCTGAGACTAACATCACTGTAGTTTGGTACAATGTATGAATTAAAGGACCTAAGTCCGTAACTCAAAATCCTCCAAAATCTTTGACATCGAAAACACGAATTATTGGTCAATTTAAATCAACATTGATGATGTAAACTTACCGGGAAAAGATGAGTTTCTGATATCCGATATTTAAGATAAAATAATTTTTTTAACATTGGTACACGAATCGTGTACCATAATGCGCTTCAGCCCCAGTTGTATTGAGATACTCGAGGGACGAGGCTAGACACATTGCACCAAATCAAATGGAGTTATGTAGACTAGAATAACTAGACGCTAGAAATTTGCACTCGATTGAGATTGCTGACTTATTTCGCCGAACATAACTGATTTGAAATAGGAGTAAAAACGGAAACCATTAAATGTAAATCAGTTTATATACATTCATATTACAGTATTATATGCGTTGCGACCCACTTTTGTGAATTTCTAGGTCCCAAATGTTAGCGATTTAGCTCCTTTAATGAATTTAGCAGAAATAAAATGGGGTTTAACGTCCTACGTTTGAAGTATTTGTAGGTAAAAATTATTTCCTATTTAGTGTAAAATGGGGTTTATCGTCCTACATTTGAAGTATTTGTTGGTAAAAAATATTTCCTATTTAGTGTAAACAGGTATGTAAACCAAGTAAAAGGCGCCATTCTTTCCAAATCTGTAACGTCTTAGGTAAACAATACACGCGCCATTGAGCTAATGATTGACGCCCCGTGACGTGACGTCACATGTTCAAAGCAGTCATCCTTTACAGAGCTGTACGAAGACTTTTCGCAATAGCTCTGTAAAACGGATTGAGAAAAGGCATGTAATTGTTTGGATAGAACGCAAAACCGAGGTATCCATGAATATATCCCATTGCATATACATGTACAGTGGGAGGAAACCTGAGGACCTTCACATCTCTCTAAGTCTAGCGTATGTTTTGTCTTTACTTTACCAAGCTGTTGCAGTAGAATGTTCAACCCTTATTTCCATTAACACAATTAATGAGTGAAATATCTTATCTAACTGTCACCCGGCATAATCCATTCACAATTTCAAAATGTATTATTCTCATGCATATAGTGGAAGAAATAAACTTATCTATCACATTGTTGATTTAATTATTACACACATAAATTTTTTCTTTAACACCTGTTAAGTGATGCAAAACAAAATGATATTTTATTTAATAGTCAACACAACAAATATACACCAGTCAGTCAGCTGTTGGTGTTTTTCAATAGACTTATTACAAAACATTAGATTATAGTCTATATTATCCAGTCATTATTATATCAACAAGTCTCAATTGTTTCTTTTATCATGCATTAGTAGTCCCAGTCGACAAGCTTTTAAGATGATTTATTTATGATCAGTTATCCAGACTGCCTGTGATCGCCAAAAGCCACATGGCTAATTAACATATCCACAACAAAAGTAAATAAAAGCACATGGTTTCACTGGTGTAGGAAGCAAGAACTATACAATACTTGACCCCTTATAGGTGACCTTTCTTATGTTCTATTCTGTTGTAAAACTCTTTATAACTGTGCTATTCATTACTGATGACACCCACCAGACAAACTAAACCAGTTTTTGACCTAATTTTAGAATGTTTACGGTAGCATTGATTTTATTGCCTGCGGGTGAATTAAACCATAATAAACTATTTTAGGAGTTTTACTGTAAACCTGTAATTATTATCAAATAGCCTGTCTGTTGATCCTAACTTTTAGATGTTTACAGTAGCATGTGTCAATAACAGATTTGATTACTCTATGTGAATTGTGAGTTCTTGGAGGCAAATTCAACTCTTCAAATGTATCGTCTTCACATATTGAACATTCACCAAACAAAAGCACCATCCCTCCACCACCCACCCCCCATTGCCATAACCGACAACATATCCCAACCCTCCCCAACCCCCCATTACCAGATTTGACGACTTATATCTTTTAAAATAAGTATACCATTAATTCATAATCAAATGTCACGAGTGCTTTTTTTTGCCTGATCATATCGATTAAAATTTGCCAAAGATATTTTACAGCCTATCACAAACGTGCATACATAGCGATCATCTTGAGAGAGTATGCCGGTCTGCGAGAAAATTGTGACTTGTTCTAAAGATTCCATGCTTCGGGGGTGGAGGCAGACATTTTGAGATCATGTGATATCAATCATGTCTCCGATTGGCTTATAAAAATGGTTCACCTGAATATATCTAACATGCTAGATACGAGCAATTGATCAGGCGAATGGTTCGCCAAACAGAATCGTTGTTGCCATGAAGGGGCAAACGGGTGATTTTTTTTTTTTTGCAATTTTACAAATAGGCGCGATCGGGTGAAAAAATACGCCCACCTGCCACCCACCTAACATGCATGGTAATATTCCTTTAATTAACACCAAT